GTTTCCAGTGTCGTAAAAAACATCGTAGTTGATCGTCGATTAACCTCTACATTTTTAATTTCTATAGCTGAACGTTATGCTCATTCAAAGACGTGGAGGTTTCGACATACATTTGCATTATTGTGTTCTGTATTATTAAAGGAACAAGCTATGGGTTCCGAAGATTTTGCTTCAATCTTGTGGCCTCATTTATTAGATTTAAGTTGGGATCCGATTCCTAATGTGAGAATATTGGTAGCCAAATGTATTGTGGAAAATTTGGTCATTGACGGTAAGCTGCTTCTCCGTTTTTGAATCCGTTAACTTAAATATGTTTTCTTTCAGAATATTTTATTCAGGAACATCTAGAGTCACTTAAAAGTGTTTTAAGAAGACTGCAGGCAGATAACGATGGAGATGTAAGATTTTCGGCAAGTTGTTCATCAGTCTAGGCGTCTCTATAGATTATACGGAACAGTTATGGACGAGTAATAAAATTTCTCAGCTGTTATTTTTATAAGTTTACCATAGGCAACTAATAATACACACTGTCATGACAAGGCTTTGACAAGGACTACAATGACGTCACAACTGTCAGCTGAAGCGCGGGAAGAGGCGAACGTACGTCTTATGAGGATGAGCAATCCTATTAGTTTACCGTTCTTGGGTGTATACTACCTTTTTGTATACTACCCTTTGAGTATTTACCCACCGCCCATCGCTGTCCATAACTAACCGTTTTTTTTTATTTAGTTATAATTAGAAATGTTCCAACATTTGTTCGATGCCGTGTATTAGAGAAGTTTATTATCGGATCATTTAGATTTATTTTTATAAAGGAATAAGTACTATAGTCTATAAAATGAATAACTTTGAATTTTGACCGTTATTTTTTACCAACATGGTAAATATAAAATCCGTTTGTCGAAAAAGTTACTGATATTCTTTAAATTCAGTGCCTAAACTAATCAGATCGGTAACTCTTTTTACTTTCGTGAAATAGAAAAGGAAAATAATAAAACAAGTGACAGTTCTTCCTCTTCTTGCAAAAATCAACACGCAATGTCATAATTGTTAAAAGTAAAATGTCATCAGCTTTTGACATTTCCAAATATCAGACCAATGCCGTCTCTAATAGAACAGCCTCGGAGCGAGATTTATGACGTCACGCTAGTTAGGTACTACGGATTAATAAATATGTTGTAGAATACATGGAAAAAATAATTATTCCTCGTATTTTTGGTTTGTATTTTAAAAATGATATAGTTTACATGAAATATACATAATATACAGTTAATAAATACAATATATGTATATACCTATTTATAGTAATAAATATTTTGGCAAATAAACTATGAATCATACAAATGCAGCAAATGTTTTACAATATACAAATAATGAATAGGTACATAAGATAATGGGTAAAATGTAAAATATATTTTAAATTTTGGGGTTTGAAAATCGATCTAATTTAACAAAAAACATTCAATATCTACTAATAGTGATGTATTATTATTTGCATTCACAAAATTTATATGTATATTTTGCGAGTACCAATGTTCGAAAAATATTATATTTGCAAATAATACAATATCATAGAAAAAAAGGCGTCAGCGATGGCCTTATATATTGGCTGTTCTATTAGGGACGGCATTGCGTGAGCATGGCCTCAAGTTGTTAATCTAATAAAATTAACACTAGAAAAGCCCGCGGGAACTGTTAAATTCAAAGTTATTCGTTTCTCAGACTGTACAAAAATAACTAAAAGGTATTTTTTATATTTAACGCAGTTCTCTCGAAAGTACCTGTGGGCCATTAAACATTAAAAGTGTAACTACAGTTGATTATTAGAAATCTTTATATTCATTGAACTATTTAATTAATGTAAGATTTGTTTGAATCTATAGTATGATGTTTGGCTAAAGATTGAAGCAAGTATAACAATAACCATAATAATTTTCATTATTGTTAAAGTCTGGTCAACGATAGGATACATGACATAGTGTTTATTTCGACTACCTGATGACGCTGGGTCGAAAGTTACAATTGCTACCTGTAAATTTAAAGATTGATTAAATATGAGTATCGATTAGTCTCCATTAGATGTTGCTGTATCATTATTAAAGGGATGATTTTTTCAGTTTGTAACCTTTATAACTTTGTAATATTGGTTTAAAATTTAGGTTAAATGTTTGTAAAGTTTATTATTTGTAATGCAACAGGAAAACTTTTTATACACGTGCAGTTCGGATGTTTTCTGCTAAAATTGTCGCGGTACAAAACTCGTTCGTTACATCGTTGCGTGAATTAAATCGTTAAATTCAAATGAAAACTTGTAAAATTATGATGTGTATTTTTGCAGAAAACAAATTCGTATGCATAAAACTCATATCTCTATCTCTGAGAACCCTATAATAGATCACATTTGACATATGTATGTAAAAGCTTAAGTTTTCATGCATCCAGATTTCCAGAGGTTTTCAGTGAGAAACAATATTACAGTTGAGGGTTGGAAACTTTGGTGTTACACAGCAAAATAAAACTAAATCACCACAATACACCAAAACACTTTTACTTTTACACTGGACGCGCGTTTCGCTAACCATGTTAGCATCATCAGCAGATGATTATAAACTAAAATACAATCTACAATTGGAGCGTTTATATACTCGCTCAGTGGGCACAGAGTGGACGTGGCAAGATCTAGCCAGCCGAGTCAGAACCCACCGAGCGTAACCGCCACTAGAGTAGCAGGAACAAAGAACTTGAAGGAATTGGACCGTTGTCTCTGTTCATACTATCTTTACATTTATTAATTCTGATGCTTTCATATGCATCTAATTGCCTGTAATTTGAGACCTGTTTAATTAATTTCAAGTTATTAAGATCTATACAATGTTCTTTATCAACAATATGTTGTGGTAGACTGTATAAATCTTGCGTTGCCGAACATATTGTTGATAAAGAACATTGTATAGATCTTAATAAGTTGAAATTAATTAAACAGGTCTCAAATTACAGGCAATTAGATGCATATGAAAGCATCAGAATTAATAAATGTAAAGAACAGAGACAACGGTCCAATTCCTTCAAGTTCTTTGTTCCTACTACTCTAGTGGCGGAAATCTAAAACTGTTACGCTCGGTGGGTTCTGACTCGGTTGCCTAGATCTTGCCACGCCCACTCTGTGCCCACTGAGCGAGTATATAAACGCTTCAATTGTAGATTGTATTTTAGTTTATAATCATCTGCTGATGAGGCTAACATGGTTAGCGAAACGCGCGTCCGGTGTAAAAGTAAAATTGTTTTGGTGTATTGTGGTGATTTAGTGTTTTATTTTGCTGAGAAACAATATAGCACCACAAAGTTCGTCAACATTTTTTAACGTTTATCGGAATTTCAGACGCTTTAGTCTGACAGCTAGGTACATAAAATTAAACAAAACATTTGTAGGATATTTGGATACACTTTTTTGCAGAAAGCGCGTATTTGGATGTATGAAAACTAGGCTTAAAATGAGAGTGATCGTGTTGTATACTACTACTTCCTTTAAGCATCAGTCGACTTTTGCTATAAAGATAAACCGATTTATGCATACCTTTTTGATATCCATTCGCAGGAAATCGTTAACGTTTTTTAAAATCCATTTTAGACGATACACTGTATTGAATGATTGTTTTTCGTTGAATATGAATAAATATTTGATTTTTTATTCGATTTTTTATTGAGCCTTTCAACAAAAATTTGCTAGTTCCGAAAGTACCCACAACTGGGTAGAAAGAATGCGAGCAAAAAACTTCCTTGCATATTACGATGTTGCCACAATTTTCTCGTAATAATCCTAATTTATTTTGTATAGACTAGAAGTACAAATTAAATTTCTATTTCATTACTTAACCTTATGAATTTTCTCAGTAGTATTGTTCTTCAGGGATTTGCTATTTTATTTACATGGGGAAATGCAGAATAAAATTACTATTACCACTTATTCAAATATACCTACTACAAAATAGAACCGGCAAAAGCGCTGCCTCGGGCGATTTTTCGCCGTGGGCCAGAGTGAGAGGATGAGAGATTATTCCTAGGAGACAAAAAATTAAATTGTGTACCTACCTGAGATCGGAAGCCGTTGCCGAACTTTGGTCACAGGCGTAGGCGGAAAAAGTTCCAACTGTGTTTTTTAATTAGTAATAGTTGTTTGCTTTGGTTAATTTATAATTCGTTTATTTTGTTACACTTATTAACTGGACTCGTTTTTGGTTGTTTTGTGTAATAAAGTAAGTATTTGCATGAAAAAAATGTCATATATAAATGACACATTTCCTGATACATTTACATTTGTAGGGTTTTCGCAATCCTTAAACCTTAAATAGTTTTTTTTTTAATAATGGAACGAAATATTTTTTTACAAAGGAAACCCCTTGCTGGCCAATCTAGGGAAATTATCGCTAATGTATATAGAGTTTGCGATGAAGAGGCCAGAAACAATGCTTTTAAATTACCCCTAAAAATATCTAATAAAAAGTCTCTATATACTGGGGTTTCTCAAAAAACAGTCCGCAAAATTCATAGAGAAGGTGAGGGGCGGCAACGGGAACGTCCAGCTGAGATGCTGTCATCACCACCTAAGCAGAAAACCCGCTTGTCTCTTATGAAAGACTTCGAAGATTTTCCTGTCATTAGGCAAACAATAAAGTTTTATTTGGAGCTAAAAGTCGTTCCTACATTTAAAAAATTACTCCTTAAGCTGCGAAAAATAATGAATTCTCCGTATAGTCGCGAAACATTGAGGATGCTATTAAAGGCCAATGGATTTCATTTTCGGAAATGCTAAAAAGGATATGCCAAAAAAATGCCAAATGGAAAGACGGTCAATTCGGAAATACAGAGAAGAAGGACGTAACATAATTTACATTGACGAGACATGGCTGGATAATGATTTAACTTTTAGAAAATGTTGGCAAAGTAACGACGTTTTTGGAATAGTTAATAATATTAGGGCAAGTGGTAAGTTTTGAAACCAGTTTAATTTAATTTATTTATCTGATCATGCCATAAGAGTTTTATTTCTGTTTTTGGTAAAGTGAGGTCCATTAAGACTGCAACAAAGGGGATTTTTATCAAACAATAATAACTCAACTTATTGCAAGTTAATAAAAATATCAAGAATAAAGAATAGAAACATAAAAATAATACATTGCTTAAAATAAAAAATAAGTTAATCAAGTCGTATAATTTTTTTTAATCAGCTGCACCTAGGTATAAAAAATTTTATCCCGCTTTTTGAAGAGAAAATCTAGAAATAAAAAATAAAAACGTAATCAACATTGAAAATATATTTTGGGAGGTTGACCAGTACATGGAAGAAGTGGAACCTATAATTATTCAAACTGATAATGACAGCAGTGATGATGATTCCGACACCGACACTGACGATGAAAGTGATAAAGAAAATTAGACTCTTATATGTACAGGGTGTTTCATAGACCTAGTATTTATTTTTTGTTTTTTTTATTTAATAGTTAAGTACTTACATTATCAAAGAGACATTTATAATTTAGAGTTTAGGTTTCGACCGTTCATAGTTTATTATAATACTTTTAATATTATTTATTTATTTCCAAATGTTTTGAGTTTTTTTACCTATTTGTTTTTTATTAGATAAGTACCTATTAGGTAGTCATTTGAAGTTTAAGACACAGTTTAAAAAATACCAAAAATACCACAGCGTTCTTAGTATAGTCTATAAAATGAATAACTTTGAATTTTGACCGTTATTTTTTACCAACATGGCAAATATAAAATCCCTCTGTCAAAAAAGTTAATGATATTCTTTTAATTGAGTGCCTGAATGAATCAGGTAGGTAACTCTTTTTACTTTCGTGAAATAGAAAAGGAAAATAATAAAACAAGTGACAGTTCTTCCTCTTCTTGCAAAAATCAACACAAAATGTCATAATTGACAAAAGTAAAATGTCATCAGCTTTTGACATTTCTAAATATTAGACCAATGCCGTCTCTAATAGAACAGCCACGGAGCGAGATTTATGACGTCACGCTGGTTAGATACTACGTATTAATAAATATGTTGTAGAATACATGGAAAACATAATTATTCCTCGTATTTTTGGTTTGTGTTTTAAAAATGATATAGTTTACATGAAATATACATAATATAAGTTAATAAATACAATATAATATATACCTATTTATAGTAATAAATCCTTTGGCAAATAAACTATGAACCATACAAATACAGCAAATGTTTTACAATATACAAATAATGAATAGGTGGTACATAAGATAATGGGTAAAATGTAAAATATATTTTAAATTTAGGGTTTGAAAATCGATCTAATTTAACAAAAAACATTCAATATCTACTAATAGTGATGTATTATTATTTGCATTCACAAAAATTATTTATATATTATAATGTTTACTGCAATTAATAAACTAATATAAACTTGTCAAAAGATGACCACATATTTTTTTAATTATTATTCTTAACACAAAACTATCTACATTGACTATGGAGTACGATTTCAGCCATATTGTAAAACATTTGCTGCATTTGTATGGATCATAGTTTATCTGCCAAAGTATTTATTACTATAAATAGGTATATATATTGTATTTATTAACTGTATATTATCTATATTTCATGTAAACTATACCATTTTTAAAATACAAACCAAAAATACGAGGAATAATTATGTTTTCCATGTATTCTACAACATATTTATTAATCCGTAGTATCTAACTAGCGTGACGTCATAAATCTCGCTCCGTGGCTGTTCTATTAGAGACGGCATTGCGTCAGCATGGCCGCAAGTTGCTAACCTAATAAAATTAACACTAGAAAAGCCCGCGGGAACTGTCAAATTCAAAGTTATTCGTTTTACAGACTATATATACCTAATATATTAAGTATATCTATTATTATCTAAGTAAATAATTACCAAAATTTGTATTTACTTCCAATGTACTTATTAAAACTGATTAATATTTTTAATAATAATCTGATTAAAATAAATTTGCACGCCTATGGCATGACTAGACTTTTTACACGCTTCCCCTCTGCTGCCTCAGACGTCGTTGCCCTTCATTCAGTTGTCGCACTGTATTGACCGTGCCAGGCCATCTTTCAAATATTGATAAAACATTGACAATAAAATATATTGACAATATTATTGATCGTGTGAGGGCCGCTTTATACCAAATCAAACTAAACCTGAAAACAGAAAAACAATTTTTTTATACTAAAATTAACAATGTAAAAATATCAATATAGGTATAAAATATAAATATACTATTTAAAGAAAGCTCCATTACTCCCAAAGAGATCTGGTTTATAAATCCAAAAGAAGTAAAAAGAGATTTTTAATTGGATAACAATCAGATTGTATCACAGATTTATTGTATTATTGGCAATAAATCGCACATACTGGAGATAACTAATGTTGGCTACAGTTCTAAAATGATCTTACCTTGCTGTAAATTGTTTCTATTTTCAACAAAATCGCCGATCATAAACATATAACAAAATTTTCTTGCATCTAAAAAATATAGAAATAGTGTTTATTTACTACCTATTTTTAATATACATGGGACATACCTAGTACTGCAGAAACGTCTTTTTCTCCAGGATTTTTCATGTAATATATATTCTATATGCTTCTAATTTTAGGATTCTATTTTTTTGGCGTGGTAATTTTTTATAAATGAAAACGGATTTGGACATAAGGGTATTGATATTAATAATTAGAACATAATGTTTTGTAATTTTAAAGAACCATTTTTATTTCAATTTCAGTCTAACCTAGATTCCAAATCAAAAATTATCTTATGTAAATGTATAACATACTTGCATAATATAAGAATTGGAAATTTACAGCTTGAAATAACTGAAGTAAAATATGCAACTGTAATTAATAAGCAAAGTAGATTAATTTCCAGTCGTAATCAATTTTTAATTGCATTAACTTGAGTTGCATTATTTTTACTTGATCATTTAAAAACGACTTATAAATCGACCTTGAGTGAACGGAATTTGTGAAAGACGCTGTGCTCCCTTTTGAGCAACAGAAGTAATGTGCATTGGTAGACGATCCCAGTACTTTTCACAGAACTTTATAATTTCACAACCATTAGTGGAACATTTTTCTATCGCAGAGGGAAATTTGTATATTCTGAATGAAATGTTGCAAGTAATAGCACGGCATATAAATCACACGGCAGGCTAACTCGCTTTCCACAAATCCACAAAATTTCAAATCAAATTCAAATGTGTCAAATGAATCGTCAAACAGAACTGTCAAGGATCCCCACCCTAGAGAGCTTTTATGGTGGCTTTTCCGCCCACCATGCATGAATACATGGATAGCATTATGCTCCTTCCTTAGTCTTCTTATTCAAAGAAATGAACATAAAACATAACCTCTTATGGACGAATACGAATATTAGTAATTAGTATAGTACTATTAGTAGAGTATTCTTTCGTTCTGAACGAACTGAAAATTTTCACTTAAACTGATTTATAAATATTACAGTTGAGGGTTGGAACCTTTGGTGTGTGTGATTTATAAAGGGAATCGACAAAGAAAGGAATGATCCGATATAGAAAAATACAGAAATCATTGTTATTTCCTATACCACGTAGGAATAAATCAGTTTAAGTGAAAATTTTCATTTCGTTCAGAACGAAACAATACTACTATTATTTGGTTCATTTCCATCACCCAAATTTCACCGAACACTAAAATTAATTTTCTTCTTTTATCTAAATAATTATTGATTGCAACTGATAAAATAAAAAGAAATACGAACCGCACGTAAACAAGGACATACTTATATCGTTTTAGAAGAAGCTTTTATTTTAGATATGAGCTTTTCAATAGGAATTGAAACAATCATAAACTCGGGACTTTTAAATTTAAAACTTTAAATTATGGTTTAATTTATTAAACGGCTGGCAGCACAGTTAATAGAATACATTGAATAAAGAATATTTTTTTTAAAATTTTTTATTCAGTGATAGAATATAGGTATGGCAATGGTTCAGAATTTGTTTAAAATAGCCCCTAGACGAGCACTAGCTGGGACGAATTTATTTTTAGGTTAAATTTATAATACTACTAAATAATTCGAATTATTAATTCGATTGTGAAATATGAATTATTACTAATTATTCGATGGTGAAAATAATTCGATTATTCCCATCACTAGTTTCCATCAACAGAAAGTAACCAGTGTCGTAGTTTTTTCAGCGACAACCCAAGTAGCACGAAATATTGGCTGCTCATTGTTTCTATATTGGCTCAATATTGATTCATTTTCGTTCGCACATCAATGTTGTGCCAATGTTGGGTCAATATTGTATTTTATTCAGTACATCTAATCTTGGTAAACAATATTGTACCCATATTAGTTTCTTAGTTTTCGCCAATATTGAAAATAATCAATGTCGGCCCATGATTGGCATTAACAATATTTTATTGTGACATTGGCCCAATATGCCTTTTATATTGATGTTTTGGATATTGGCATTTACATAATTAACTAAATTGGAACAATATTGAAATGCATTCTGTTTAGAATAAAATCGCTACCTATAGTAGATATCGATACCTGGGTTGATACTTTGACATGGGGCTTGCATCCCTACTATCTCATGATTTTCATAAAAGTTTGCTTTTTAAAATTCTTGCTCGATTCCTAAAGCATCTAGCGCCAAGGATCGATCGGGTTATTTCGCGTGTAATCTATAAATAAAAAAAACTTACACCAAAGACCAACCAAGGCGATTTGGCGTATTTTTAATTTATTTTAAATAAATAAAGAAATAAATAAAACAGCTGAAAAAAATAAAAAAACTCTGCCTCTGCCGGGCTCGAACCATCACCGTCGCTCCCGAATCGGCAGCCTCAACCACGGAGCTACACGCTGCTTTAGAAACCAGACTCTATTGAAGCATTACTTTCTTCTGCCGTTCCAATACGCATGCGCCGGCGCCGGGTGATGCTTTGGAATCGCCGCGCGCCGGGCCGCGTTCCGTACCAGATCAGTGTTGCCAGATGTAACATAATTATCCAATTATTATAACAAAATTTTTCCCAAAAAAAATCTGTACCATAATCGATAGTTGAAACATAATTTGGTAACCTGTTACAATTAATGTTTTATCAACCATGAAATATATTCTTATGAGAAATAATTTAACTTTAAGGTAGTTAATGCAAAATAACTCAAGTGGTTTTAAAAGTTTAAAAAAATGTTAAGGTATAAAGCAGTAAATATCCGCGGCAAATCAAATAATTCCGATTTTAAAATGCGGGAAGAGAAACCAGACCCCAAAATATAAAACTGACTGAGAAAATACGTTTTATAGCTGGTTGAAACCTATTAAAATTAAGTTAAACCGACAAAAAATAGAATCCAAATTTATTGCTATCATTATATTTTTTAGAGAATTCCCTCAGCCAAATATATCGCTTGTAAACATAATTTTATAATAAATTCGATACTTTGATCTACATTGATCCATAATTTCATATCCGACACCTGGCAACGCTGACCTAGACGCTTTTACTGACGAGTTGACATGACATAAAAAAAGCTGTTGCTGTGACAGTGAAAGATTTCTTTTGTGAAAGCAAATTGTGTTTTATCGTGATCAAATCAAAGTAAGTACTGTTGATGTTAGTTGAGTAAGTATGTCGAATAAACCTATTCCAATGCTAACAATTAACACGTATAATACAAGAAAATATGTGCTATAGCTATAAAGCTGTAATTGTTTGTAGGTTCACGGGTACCTAGGTTTACAATCTTACAACCACAGAAAAATTTTACTGAATCCAGCTTGAAGAATATTTCTTTAGTAAAAGTAAGTACCTAATATATTTTTTTTTCCTGTAACACACAATAGTAGTTTTGAAGCAATGTGTAATCGAGAGTATAATTTATTAGATTGTTAGGGCGCTTTGTTAATAAATATTTTTAGATTCGGTATTGCTACTTATATACCGCGCTGGCAAAAAAACATTAGCAATAGGAGGTTTTCAATGCGATAAAAAAAGATGTTAAGGCTGCAAAATATACTGCAGTGCAACAGAGATGGATAAAGAGTCTTTTCCCTACCATCGTTTAGGGGAAGTGATACGACGAGCGAGCCTCTGCGAGAGGGGGCGGGGCTTTAAGACGTTTGTGTGGGGACTACTAGTAATAGAACAGAATAGAAAATAGAATCAGTATCAGTCAGATGTCGGTGTGGTGATTATTAATCGCATTTTTCAGTTAATAATATGTTTTACGATCATGTTACTCCCTGTTGTATTTAATGCAACAGTGCTTTTAAACTTAGTTGAATTTTTATCAGCCTTAAGCCTAAAATTGAAATAAAAACAAGTATTCTAAAAAAAGTAAACTCATAAACATTTTTAAAATAAATAAAAGGATTTCTTATAATAAATAAACTATAAACAAAATTCAAAAAATAACTATGAACAAAATTTATTTAGACAAATGTTCAAAACATTTCCCTGTTGGGCTTCGCAGTACCCGAGCCGATTATAAAACTCCTGTCCTAACATTCGATAGTACTTCCGGTGTTATGGAGTTAGTACTATCAAATATTTTGGCCCTTAATTCAACTAAATTTGCAGGTCTCTCATGTGGATACCTATAAATTTGTTGCTTTAAGTGACCCCAGAAAAAAAAGTCCAGAGGGGTCAAATCTGGTGATCTTGCCGGCCATGGTATGTTGCCTCTTCCACAAATAAGCCGTTCAGGAAAAGTCCTTGTCAGGAATTCCTGAACTGGTCTTGCATTGTGAGCAGGACAGCCATCCTGCTGAAACCAAATTTCATCAAAATTGACATTAAGGGTCCGCACAGCTGGTATAATTTGATTCTGCAGCATCTGCAAGTATTTTGCAGCATTTAAATACCCATCGATCACAAAGGCCCAACAATATGGTCGCCCAAAATACCGGCCCACATATTAATTTTTTTTGGGGATATTGGGTACGTAATGGCACAGTCAGATGTTTATTTTCCCGTGACCAATATCTAACGGCTGAAGATTGTGATGATGACCATGAAGAGAAAAATGATGATTCGTCTGTAAATAAAATGTTTTTAAAAATTGTTCGTTTTCATCAATTTTCTGCCTCATGGTCTCACAAAACTCCATTCGTGCGATACAGTCACGTGGGAAAATTCTTGGGTAGTTTTAATTTTGTACGATTTGTAACCATGTTTTTCAAAAACATACCGAACTGTGCGGTCGGAACGTCAATTTCTTGTGAAATTTGGCTGCTGGAGCATGGCTCACTTGCTTGCTACAAAGGCACATACACATTTTGATCCTCTCGACTCTTTCTTCAGGAATAGGACGGGGTTCTTGATCCTCGTGGTAGCATTTACCACACTGGTTAATGCAGCCAGATTGCTTAAAACGATTAAAAATATTAAAAATCGTTTGGCGCGATGGGACCTGTTGACCCGGGTACGCAAATATAAATTGCCCAACAACTTCCTCGGCACTTTCAGCTTTGCTGTACCATATCACAATATTTATTTTTTGCTCACGAGAATACATTTTTTAAAAAATAACTATTAAATACTTCTAAGGCAAAAGGCTATGTGAGAATGTGAAAATGAACATGGAATAGGGAGAAGAGGAATGAGCTAGAGCCAGAGTGGGAGATCCAGTTAGTGGGGACAGTAAAGACGATAGACAGTGTTGCCATTCTATTAAATAGAATTATGTTGGCTTATCCCAAATCCCAAATCTTAAATCTTATTTTGCCTACTTAATAAAATATTAAATAAAGTACAAAAGAATTTTAAGAATGTTTTCTCTGGGCACATAACTTCTATCTAAAACGAAAAGTAACATGCAAAATGTTGAAATCACTTCTGAAATAGCAATTGATAGTAGTGATGTAAAAATTCTAAGTAATCGTTACAAAGTAACAGTTACTTTACGAGGACACGAAGTAACGCTTACTATTTGAATTTAGGACTCGTTACTCGTTACTAAGCTAATTCGTTACTTTTGCGCCGCAAGTAATCGTAATCCCTGGAAATGCACGAACCGAGAACTCGAAACTCGATACTGAAATATTCCTTACTTCGACGTAGGTCTAGTTGTTATCAATATGCTTATGTTTAAAATGTTGACTTGACGCCGGCCGATGTTTTGGATGGCAAATGTGTGATATTTTTATTACAATTATTATGGGGATGGGCTCATGCCGACCCGGAGGCGGTCTATCCCTTTGCCGTTTGTTGTCGCTTTTTATTTATAGGATAGAATCGTTTAGTTAGATTAACATGTCTTAGATATTAATTAAATATGGATTCACGTTAGTCACAAAAAATGTTAACATCTGAAAAAGCAGAGCAAATATTTTTCTTCTTCAAAAGAGAATAGATATTTCGCCACTTACACTAAAAAAATCTACAAAATAAAAATAGTAATTTTTAGTAAACACTGGGGCTGGCGTTAATCCAAAGAACTTTTTTGAAGAGATGAATCCGCCACAGAAGAATATACATTTTTTTAATATTTTTACATTTTAACAAAAATATATACATTTTTTTTTTCTTTTTACTCTTTAATGTTTGCCTATTTATTAATGTATTACAAAGAGAGAGAGAGAGAGAGAGAGAGAGAGAGAGAATAAAAAAATACTTTATATTTATTATACACATATTTTCTTTGTTTGATTTGTTTTCTTTTATTTTTAATTTTATTAATAGTACATATTTTTATTTAACATCATTATAAAAATATTATACATATTATTAAAAACATATTATTCAGTACTTGAATACCGAGTATTGAAATTATCCTATTAAGCCCTTACACTAGAAGAAAGTAGAAACCCCTTATAGGTTAAACCGAGCATGCAACGAAGATCGCCGCGCACAATAAGTAACAAAGTTCCAAGTCAAACCCAAGTCTTCCAACCTGTACACAAAACAACGATAATAAAGTAACGATAGTACCAAAGTAACGAGTAACTAAAGTAACGAGTCCTATTACCAAAAGTAACTAGTAGTTACGAGTCCATAAAAGTAACTAAAGACTAAAGTTTACATCACTAAAGGCGGGCGGCCACTGCGAGCGAAACTAAACTAAGCGAAGATAAGATTTGTAAAAATCAGCTTACATACTTTTTAATGCGTCAGCGGCTACTTGACCGAAACAAACGAAAATATATGAACGAAGATTCGAATGGTAGTTTAGTTTCGCTCGTTTTAGTTCGTGACAGGTTCCAGCGAATTTTAGGCAGCGATTAGTTCTATGATAGCAGGGATACAATACGAAAAACTTAGCTGACTACTGAGCGAAAATCGTTTCCAGTGGAGTTCCCATTTAATTACCTTTAAGACGGGCGGCCACTGCGGTGTAACTAAACTAAGCTAAGAATATGAAAACAAACATCTTCGCTTAGTTTAGTTTCGCTCGCAGTGGCCGCTCGCCTTAATTGATAGCAAGTGCAATTCTATGAAATGGCAACACTGTCCAACGCATGACCTTCCGAACAGTCGCAGTCGCCTCGGCATCGACGCGTCGGTAGGCGGCGGCGGTGTCAAAGAAATGGGCCCAAAAACTTCTAAGGAGTAGCCGAACAGGGTTGCCGGGTTGTTAGGTTATAATTCTATACGAGAACAAAATTCTCCGTAGATCTTAAACAAAAATCAAAAAGTACAGAAACACAAAATAAAATATAATATTTAAGTCCAAAATTGGCATTCCTATGTGTTGTAATAATAGAGCACTCAAATAAAAACACAAATAAAATAAATATAACAAGAATTAGAAATAGCTAGGGGTATTATCTAATATTAAAAAATATACCAGGTGCGTCTCAAAAGTGGCTCACCCCTATAACTTTATTTTTTTTTAGATAAAAATATCGAGATTTGGTATGTTAATATATGACATAAATTAGGATTGATTGACGTATTCAATTGTTTTTGGTCACTTCCTATTTCACCGGAAATGACTACAACTTTTGATTTTTAAATGGCACCCTCGGTATTTTTTTACTTTATTCGATAGCAAATGACATTTTGAATAGAATGACATATCATATGTCAACTTTTGACATTTTCGCATATGGTTTATTTGAAATTATAACTTGAGGTTTGTAACGAAAATTTTTTACTCAAAATACCTTAATACGAATAAGTATGTGGTATCAAATTATTCGTAAAGAAATGCTTTTTCCAAATATGCTAATCAGCCACCCTCGTTCCATTTGAAATAATTAAGATATGATTAAAAATACGATTTGAGCGTTTTCTAACTAGCCAGGACAAGACACTAAAAACATTAGACGATCAAATCTATTTTTTTCCAAGGCTCCTTGATTAAGAATTAGTGTTTTTAACATAGCCATGGTACTCTAGATTGAATTTTAAAATACGATTTTTTATTAAGCGAGATGTCAAAAGTTGACATATGATATGTCATTCTATTAAGAATGTCATTTTCTATCGAATAAAGTAAAAAAATTCCGAGGGTGCCATTAAAAATTCAAATTTTGTAGTAATTTCCGGTGAAACAGGAAGTGACCAAAAACAATTGAATACCTACGTCAATCAATCCTAATTTTTGTCATATACTAACATACCAAATATTTTATCTCAAAAAATAACAAAGTTATAGGGGTGAGCCGCTTTTCAGACCGCACCCGGTATATTAAATTAAATAATATTTATATATTTATATAAACATATAAAACTATAAGAAGTAGGGATAGCAGTCACTTTTTACTTTTGTACAAATTTTGATCAGTGATATCTAAAATTAATTTCACTTCAATGGGAAAGCTGTAGCAACTCTCAACTCTTTTTTTATATTAATATATTTTTTAGACAGGAAAAGCACTAAAATATTTGTCCGTATTTAGTTTGTTTCTTAACTTAGATTTTGTTTTTGTTTACATTTTTTGGGGAGAAATGCGGGTTCAACTTTAGCAGATGAATGAAACAAAATATTTTCTAAAGATATCATCTTCGGGCATGTCACCAATACCGCGCCTAATGAGGAGTAATAAGGATTTGTGGGAATATCTCTGTAACTCTGCAAGTAGACAGATTCCAACGCGTTGGTCGCTTAATTTTTAGTCCAAATATGTCAAATTTTTAAAAGTGCTTGTATTGTAAAGACTGAAGATGCAGTGGATCATATCGATAGATTTTTATTTAAATCGGTAGATCGGTTCGGTAGTTTACACGGAACTCGGTAGACCTGGCAACACTGTGATGGACTGCGAGATTGGGCCTTGCGGGGGCGCGGGAAGGGAAATAAAAATAATGGCGATAAAAAGGCAGGTGGATGAGTATCATGAGTGAATGGGAGGCGGTGGCATTTGCAAAATTTGTTGTCTTATTGGAGTTTGTCTAACTCGACAATCGTAGTGGAAGTGGAAACGGGGAAGTTGTTATCCATCTCTGTTTAAGCTTAGACTTTTTATAGGCGTTTCATTCCAATGCATGTAATTCCTATGCCTAGATTCAACATTACCGGACGTGTATAGGTAAATAAACAGACATTTTTTAGGTAAATGTCGGGAAAGGCAAAAAAATACAGGTTTGTTAAAAGTTTTCTTGCAAATAAAGATGAGTCTGACGGTGACAGTCCTACGAAACGCCTGGAAAGCCAGGAGAGCATTATACTTCTATCAGACGATAATACAAGTTCTATTAATGAAGTTAACACACAACTTACTAATATTGTTAATAATAGTGATAGCTGTCTTAGTTTGTTTTTGAAGAGTCGGGGGACTTGGGGGCAAGCAATACACAGACTGTAGAGTTAAATTACGATTCCATATCAAATGTGTTAGAAAATCATAATCAGAATTCACTTTGCAGATAATTTAAAATGTTGGGCTCTTACACACAATGTAAACCATAAACAACTAGTTGCACCACTGAATAAAACGCTCCCTACTTCTAAGTTTCTGCCACTTTGCATTAAACCATATTATGAGCATATCATCTCATCATATTAGAAAATAAGGCAAAACACAAAAAGGATAACCCAAAAAACTTTATATTATTTTATAGATGCAGTGAAAAAGTACATTTTCCAGACGCAACTGATCTGGACATTACGCGATGTATTGGTATTTCACTAACGACAGCCGGAGACCGGGATGGGGGAAGAATATTTAGAGGTTTGTGTCCTTATAAATTTAATTTTATGTGTTAACTGAAGTATTTTTTAGCTAAAAATAATACCAGCCATGAAGATAATATATAGGCTTATTTTATTACTTAGTTAATATTTTTGTAAGATAAATTGTTTTCTTCAATACATTAAAGTTTCCATACACACATGGGTATTTTGTTTTATGTTTTCCCTAAATTTGAAATAAAATTAGGACAAAAACTAGTGGTATTATGATTACCAATGTTGGCGTAATATTACATTTTTAATGGGGGCAATATTTTAGTAACTTGTTGGACCAATATTTAAAAACAATGTTGGGCCAATATATCAAAAAGTGACGAATTATTATTGGCCCGATATTAAAAACTAGCTTGGCCCAATATATATTCTACATTGGATCAATCTTGGAACAATATTGTTGTGCTACTTGGGAACGCACAGTTACGGCAGATTCGAGTCAGTAGCGTGCGGCTTAATTTATTTTGATTTTTTCTTGAGTGATATATTTTGTTTTTGTTGTTTTATTTTTGTTTATTATGTGATATATTTGGTTTTTCTAGTTTTATTTTCGTTTCTTATTAATATAATTGCCAATAGGTGCCCGGTGGCGTAGAGGTACAAGCTCTCGTCTACCAATCTCAAGGTAGTGGGTTCGAATCTCACACCCGGCATTTCATCAGCCGACTATTTTTATTAAAATAAAACTAGTTTGGGTACCTAGGTCGACTCAGCCTTAAATGAGTACTTGGAATTCACAATAGACGGTTGAAGCGTAGTGCTAGCCACATTACCTTCCTTTGTATACCGAACGGCTCTAGTATGGCAAGCTGTACCTTGCTACTCCCAACGCGTGAAACGCTATATACGGGAGCTATTATTATTATGTAATATAATTTGTTTTAGTAGTTTTATTTTTGTTGTTCAATAAAAGTTTCTTTCTGTTTCCTAGAGATCCTATTAGGTATGTTTATATGTGATTAATTATTTTAACATATTTTAGTTGTGAAAAAAAAACAGTAGTATACATATTAGGACATTCAGCTAAATAGGAAGATCTAATTAAAAATCTTAACAAACTTTAATACTGTGTGATAAAAAAAAACGGTGTCCAGTTGGCTAGGAAATGACGATCGATGACATTTCCCATATAAATTTACATATAAAATGACAGCGACCTTCATTTCATAGCCATCGCTGACGCCGTTTTTTCTCGATCATACGGTATTAGTAAGATTTAATGTTAAATATTTAGTAAAATTTAATGTTGTATCTAGACATTAAAAATTAAATTTAAAAATCATTATACTATTAATTTAAATATAATTATAAAAGTAAATAAAATGAGTAGGTATATCGAAAATAAGTTAACAATACATTTTTAGGACAAGAACATGGGCAATTGCAGCTAATAGAGAAGACTTGATTGAAGATATAAATAAGGCCCACAAAAGGTACAAGTTATGTTCTGTTCATTTTGAATTTAAAATATTTACCAATTCACTTTGTAACCGTATAAAATACAATGCGGTACGTACTTTGTTTCCTGCCATGAAAAAAATAGAAGTTTCTCAAAAAAATTGTGGATTTATTAATTTGTAAAATTTGAATATTAATCCAATTTGCTACGCCCATTGATGGGCATAATTTGTACGTAGCCTCTTTGTATTGTTCAATAAATATTTTATTGATATTTGTTTAATTCTTGTTTGTAACTCCTGGCATGTTTTTGTTAGTTGCATGTTTTTTAATTTTAATTGTCTATTCTCTACAGTGAAATATTTAATTGATTTTCTCATTTTTACTTTTCGAGAAGTATGCGCGGTTAACGATTCATTTGTTTGGACAAAAGTATTGTGTAAATAAAATTCAGTTTCAGTCAATTACAGTATTTTTTTTAATACGACTCTGTCGTATTTTATGAGAAATTTTTTGATAAGTTTTAATCCGGCCCTGACTAGGAAACGATAATGGCGCCGTCAAGGTCACATTTTATAGAAATTTTAAACAATGGAATCTGAGCAGAGTTGGCGTGCCGATTGATCACAATAATTATTGTTAGGTACACTTTCCAATTTGCTTACCTATTTCATTAAGATCATTTCAATATTTTCAAATTTACTGAATATTTCTTCGTTCGGCTCTTTTTATGTTGTTCTTTATTATTTGTCGGACAACCTAAGATTTCTTGGAAAATTCGAGTTACTTACGTTTGTTATGGTGAAACATCTAAAATTTTTAGAAAGGTAATAACTATAATTCATGTTTAATTCTCTTCTAAAATGGTCCCGTCGGATGAACACTACATTTATGTATTGAGGGTAACTTTTTCTGCAGTATATTATAATATCTACTATGATAATATATTATAGAGAATAATTTAATATTTAATTACAAAATACAGGGTGTAAATAAATAAGTGCTAAAAATCAGGCCCTGATTGGTTTTCAAAAACATTTTTTTTGCATATATAAGATTTATTGATTTGATATTTCCCTCCAACGTAATTTACATGTCATGTACTACACACACCGGAAAAGTCTAGGGATATTAGAATTTTATCCAGCCATCGTCAGTAATTTTATTAATTGCATTTCTGATATAATAAAATTAAAATAAACAAATAGTTTACAGGACGTATTGGAAATAAAAATGCGAAATTTACCGAATTTTTCAAATTTACCTTGATTTTTATTGAACTCAAAAAAATACACACATTTTTTTTATTCTAAACTGCGAATTAAAAAAAAAGAAAAAACCATTTTTACTTAATAAAGGGTATGGCCTCCTCTACTGTTCATTACAGCCCTACATCGTCTCTCCATGCTCCTGATCAGGTTGTCGATCTCTTCTTGAGGTACAGCATGCCACGCTGCATTCACGGCCCGAACCAGATCCCTACGAGTTTCACGAGGCATACTCATTCTCAAAATTCTTCTTTGGACCGCGTCCCATACGTACTCGATGGGGTTGAGGTCAGGAGATTGTGCCGGCCAGGGTAAGATGTTTAACTGATGAGCATTGATAAACTCACTTACCACTCTGGCTGTATGAGGCCGTGCATTGTTATGCATGAAAATGAAGTTTCTCCCAAAGTTATTGGCATATGGTAACACGACAGACTCAAGAATTAAATCACGATGTGATTCCTGTTAGAAACCTTTCAAGAAAAACGAGATCGGTTTTTCGGCCTAACTGGACTCCTCCCCAGACCATAACTGTTCCACTTTGATAAGGGTGCACTTCCTGAACATGATCCAACCGAATAAGATTTCCCGGTTCTCTCCATACCCTAAGCCTTCTCGAATCCGGATGAATTCCAAAGCGTGACTCATCCGTGAAGAGAACATTGGCCCATTGTTCATTCGACCACTGAACATGATCTTGAGCCCACAAATATCGTACCTCTCGATTTCCTCTCGTTAAGGGTTGAGCTCTCCAGGGGCGTCTGCTTCTTAAGTTGACCTCTCTTAATCTATTGCGAACAGTGTCAGGACTAACGGTTACATTATGTGTTTCCTGGAGAATTAAACTAAGCTCTGGTGCTGTAAGAGTCGGTCGGCGTCGAGCATTTAATTGTAAAAAATGATCTTGCTGAGGGGTAGTAATGCGATGTCGCCCTGTGTGCCTTTCAGCAACATCACCACTTTCACGGTAGCGTGCACTTAATCGCGATATTACACTTTGCGTTGTATTTAATGCTCTAGCTACGTCGATTTGGCGCATTCAAGCTTCGAGCATACCCATGGCCCTTAGCATTTCGTCTGTGTTAAGATGTCTACGCTCCATAATGTCGTTTAATACTAAACAGAGTTATTTGAATGAATTCTGGCCAGTTATCATAAAAACATAGCCAGTACAGGTTAAATTCGAACAATTGATGCTAGGTGCTTTTTATACATTTGACAAAAAATGCACAAACACTTCTGCAAATATCCCAAATTTAGAAATAACTAGTGTGACTACTTCGTTTCAATCGAAGTAGAAAGAATCGGCCTACAAATATGTGGTTGTTTATTCAAAACATTTATTTTTAACTTTAATAAAATGATATCCCTAGATTTTTCCGGTGTGTGTATATTATTTTACAAATCTATGTACAGGGTTCCATTTTCGTGTTTTTTGCAGGGTTTCTCGTTTATGAGCACAGCTACAAAGATGCGGTTTTCACATCATTGTGCTACTTTTTTTACGAAACTAAAGATTACAGTTGGAGTTTGGAACCTTTCGTGTGACAACAGCAAAATAAAACGCTAAATCACCATAATATACCAAAACACTTTTACTTTTACACTGGACGCGCGTTTCGCAACCATGTTAGCATCATCAGCAGTCAGCAGATGATTAGAACTCAGTTCTGCTGATGATACTAACATGGTTAGCGAAACGCGCGTCCTATGTAAAAGTAAAAGTGTTTTGGTGCATTGTGGCGATCTAAACTAAAGATGCTACATACAGAATTTGTCCTAGCCCTCTTAGTTCCTGAAATACAGGGCGAAATTTAAAATGTTGCATTTTTCGACCCCTTCGTATCTTGGTTACCTTATAACTTACCGAAAAGGTGAAAACTCTATTGGAGTGAGTTCCGTAGAGTTTTACACGTATAATTCAGTGGCGTAAGGCATAAAGTAAAAACTTAGTTTTCTTTTTGTATTTTTTAGTTAGAAGCAGTTCGAGAATAGAAAAAATAAAATATCTATCAACATCCAATAAAAGACAGAGTGCGCTAAGGATGTTCTTGTCGGACCGAAGCCAAACTCACGGGTGTATCAAGGCATAAGGGATGACCCTGTACCTGAGTTTTTATATTAATAAATATTTTAAGCTGACTTCCATTGAATTATTTCTAATTAAATTCCTAGATCGTATACGTCGTTGAAAAATGTACGTCCATAGTACGTACATTGTATGTCTATAGTACGTACATTGTACGTACTTTCGATCATTTTACATCCAGTTTTGGTCCGGAACAAAACAAAATGTACGTACCTGGAATGTACGTACATGCGACGTACATAGTACGTACTTTACCACATCCCAGGGACGTACCGGAGACGTACAAAGCGTTGAAAAATGTACGTCCATAGTATACGTACATTGTACGTACTTTCGATCATTTTACAGCCAGTTTTGGTCCGGAACAGGACATAAAATGTACGTACCTGGAATGTACGTACATGCGACGTACATAGTACGTACTTTGCCACATCCCAGGGACGTACCGGGGACGTATAAAGTGTTGGAAAATGTACGTCCCTAGTACGTACCTGTACGTACTTGTACGTACCAGGGACCTGACGTTCGGCCAAACATTACGTACCAGGTACTCATTCGTTACATCCAAAAAATGGCGTCTAATATCACAAATTCTGCTTCAGCCTGTATATGGGAGTTACATGGCCCTGTATTCCTTAGTCATTGATCTACGCAAGATGTTTATTTTTTGTCAATAATGACGTATTGACTATTTCCATTCTAAATATCTTGAGAACGGTTGCTTGTAGCGATTTTTACTAAGAGATATTTTTTACGTAAAAATAAGTCACGGAAATGTAATTTTTTTTTATTCAGGTACGGATGAAAAGTTATTACTCTTCAGATCAGTTAAAACACGTTTAGGTGGCGCCCCATACAAATAGGAGTCATATTGATCACAAAATCAAATTTCTCATGTCAAAAAACTTCCAGACACCAATTTTCATCCAAATATTGACGTTACTTCAGAAATTATTTACAGTTGAGGGTTTGAAGAAATTATTTGGAAAAAAATCGAAATGAAAAAATGAAATGTATCCCAGTATCTCCGAAACAAAGCATTTTAGGACATACATTTATACAAACTTTTTTACTTATTTTTATCGGCAAAATATACTGTTGACGTTTGCGGAATACAGTTTGGACCATCCTGTATATTAGATATAGTCTGTTAGCTGCCTTTTAATAAGAATAATACATTAACAATGGGACTACTAGTTATTCGTTTGAGAATTTATTAATATCTTAGTAAATATAACAGTTTGTCTTTAGTTGATAGTAAAATACTAAATTTTTCGAATATTGTACGAGTAAAAGCAATTGTTCCTGGATAAAAGTTTTTGCCTTTTAAACAGAAATTTAAAAATTAAAAAAAAATAATTTTTGTGAGATGCTATACTGGGTTAGAATCCAAATGGAAACCAGCTACTCAGTATTTTTTTTGCCTAACCAAGCATAAATATTAATTTTTCATAATAAAAGTATGGCCATTTTTTTTTTAAATTGTGGCTACTGCTCTATATTGACTGACGAACAATTCTCCCCTGCTGCACAAAAAAAGTACTGCCAACGCACATTACTTCAAATAGATTACATTTATATTATTATCACTGTATTTAAAATTTCTTTAGAAGTCTATAGAAGCTGTTTAAACGATGAAAATGTTTTCCAGCGTGGAAACGTTTTTATCCGTCCTAAACATCACCAAAACCCTGTCGTTCAGCGTAGCAAAGTTTTTTAACGTGTCGCTTAAATCGAAAAGGTCGCGAAGGGTCCCGGCAAGTTCCGTTTGTAAACTCCCCGCCATTTTCGATATCCTCTCCAGGAGCTTGGTGAAATTTGTGAACAGACGCACCACTGCGATGACAATCACCGCGACCGTGAATACAGCCTGCGAAATGTTGAGTTTTCTTGGGAGAATGGTCCCTCCATCCTCATGGGTTTGCAATGCGGACGACCAGGTGTTAAAGCTCATTCCCAAGCATATCCATGAGGAGGGACTCCTAAACAGATACACAAAAATTAGTTTTCTTATACACACACACATTTCGTCATTTATACAGTGACCGCCATTGAATAAAAAAGAACGTAAAAAGGAATTAGTTAATTTTTATTTTTATATTCATACAGTAGAGGTGGGAATTCTAGTTCCTTAGGAGGAACTAGAAACGATTTTATCCAAAGAAGAATTTTTATCCAAAAAGAAGACAATATGAAGGTTTTTGGCACTCTTGCATAATAAAAATTGTTAAATAGAAATATTTATTGTTTTCCCTACATTTATTTTTTCAATTTAACGGTGTTTAATTAAGGATGCCTCAGTTTAAAGCAATTTTGCTGTCAAAAAGTCCGCAACTTAAGAACATTTTTTACATTTAATAAAAAATTAATAGATACATTTTTATCTTTCAACACATACCGTAACTAAACCAAAGTTCTTGATGTTGAAAAGAAATAAATATGTAAACGGAAAACATATCTAATAAGTCAGCTGATCATGGCGTCTTGTATGATTGATTATTCTGTAATGAAGTTCATAAAATTTCTGGGACACCCTGTATATTGTGTTAATGTTATACTAGAATAATAGAGACTTCATTCTCTTTTAATAATGACACTCAATGTATTTTATTGTTAACTCATTATTGTAATGAACTTCATTAGTGTTCCTATTGTTGAATTAAATAAGTTAAATATTTAATTGCCATTTTGTAAGAGAGTTTTGATCGGTTTTGGTCGCTATAGTTTAATGCGAAAAACCGAACCGTTTGCGCCGCTCGCCCTACTCTGCTAGTGCAGGCCGAGTGGAGGGGAGCGTCAGTCGAGTACCTTGGCTGCAGCAGCTCCAGTTAGTTAGTTTGTGGTCGCACGCGAAACAGTGAGGTTCGAGTCCGGAGTGCCCTGCCAAGTGACCTGCTGCCAGCCGCCGATTGTCGCCGCATTGTACAGGGCAAGCACCCACCGCCAAAGTGATCGAGAGTAGGTCGTATTCTTTTTATTGTTAATGACGTTTACTTTACTGCCTTAACGCGTTACAGGGATAAGGGAGACAGAGATATTTATATTCGCTCAGATAGACGCAACTATGCACCTCTACGGAGGCTGGAGGCTATTTGACCGAATCGCGCGAACGCAAAGACATAGCAAAACTTAAATGCGATCTGGTAGATTCAACTATGCACTTCTACGGAGGCTGGAGGATATTTGATCGGATCACGTGGACGCGAGGAACGATTTCTTTTGTTAAAAGGGAGAGAGTGAGACAGCTAACGGTTAAGGTAGTTCAGTAATGGCACGGGTCGCGAATATTCATGGAGCAAGAACAAGATCTCGCCCAAATCCGGACGGCATCCTGCATCAGTGACGCTGGACGGGATCTCGCCGAAATCCCGAGGTTGTCCTGACCGGGCGGTGTGTGTGCGGGCTGCGTTTATCCGAACGACGTACAACTCGCCGAGACGTCGCTAACGTCTACGTCACTCCGGGACTCGCGTTTGTGTATCCCACGGGACGCTGTTAACTTCGCGATCGATCCAGGACTCGCGTTTGTGTATCCCACGGAACGCTGTTAACTTCGCGATCGATCCAGGGCTCGCGTTTGTGTATCCCACAGGACGCCGTTAATTTCGCGATCGATCCAGGACTCGCGTGAGTGTGTCACGGGACGCTTTTAACTCCGACGCCGATCCGAGGTCCGTGTTTCGCTGTCAAAACGGACGCCGTTCCGATAAATATTTAGCTGTGACCATCGGGACGCCTGTAACGACGTCGCCGCCATTTAGAGAGTCGCGTCGTAGTAGAGTGCGTGGCTCCGGTATCTACGTGTCTGTGTTCATTAAGACGCCGCTAAACCCGACGCCGATCAGGAGCTCGCGTCGTCGTGTTTAAGAGAATGTCACTTCGGGAACGCGTTTTGAATTCGCGTGATAGAATCAGTCAGAGAGTTACGTATCGGGAATAATCGATCAAAACTCTAGAGGTGCTCGGTTGTTATTGTAAATTTTACTTTACGGGTCTCTAAATATACATTTTATTTCACTATTGTTACAATTCGAGGACGTGAACCTTCTTTGATTACTTTTGTACATAATTAATTAGTTAAATAAAAACTTAGTGTTACGTTATAGTTAATTGTGTTTTATTTTCTTTTCATCTCATCACTCCCTGGTATCTCCACTGTATAAAAGCTACCCGTATTGGCACTAGTGGTCTCTCCAAACACTTTAAACGTTGGGGGTGGCGCCCGAGGAACCGAACCAAGGCAACTCGGCGTCCGTGAGCTTTCTCAAAAACGGGGGAGTCTCACAATTCTCGGTTCAGGCAGTCATTATACGCAATGAATTTTTTGAAACATACTTTCATATTTTATAATAGTGCTGTCGAGTATCTATCACAGCATTTTTAATCGTGTTATTTTTTTAATAAAAAGTTAATTTAAATTACATCGCTGTCCAAAAATTACCAGAACTAAGTTTTTAAAATTTTTCTCCTAATTATAAAATAGGTAAAATACACGAAATGTGGTGATCTGGAAATTTTGGCCAAGTAAGGAATATGAAGGTTTTTTAAATTCTCAAAATTCTTTGGACCGCGTCCCATACGTACTCGATGGGGTTGAGGTCAGGAGATTGTGCCGGTCAGGGTAAGATGTTTAACTGATGAGCATTGATAAACTCACTTACCACTCTGGCTGTATGAGGCCGTGCATTGTCATGCATGAAAATGAAGTTTCTCCCAAAGTTATTGGCATATGGTAACGACAGGCTCAAGAATTAAATCACGATGTGATTCCTGTTAGAAACCTTTCAAGAAAAACGAGATCGGTTTTTCGGCCTAACTGGACTCCTCCCCAGACCATAACTGTTCCACTTTGATAAGGGTGCACTTCCTGAACATGATCCAACCGAATAAGATTCCCCGGTTCTCTCCATACCCTAAGCCTTCTCGAATCCGGATGAATTCCAAAGCGTGACTCATCCGTGAAGAGAACATTGGTCCATTGTTCATTCGACCACTGAACATGATCTTGAGCCCACAAATATCGTACCTCTCGGTCGGCGTCGAGCATTTAATTGTAAAAAATGATCTTGCTGAGGGGTAGTAATGCGATGTCGCCCTGTGTGCCTTTCAGCAACATCACCACTTTCACGGTAGCGTGCACTTAATCGCGATATTACACTCTGCGTTGTATTTAATGCTCTAGCTACGTCGATTTGGCGCATTCCAGCTTCGAGCATACCCATGGCCCTTAGCATTTCGTCCCTGTTAAGATGTCTACGCTCCATAATGTCGTTTAATACTAAACAGAGTTATTTGAATGAATTCTGGCCAGTTATCATAAAAACATAGCCAGTACAGGTTAAATTCGAACAGTTGATGCTAGGTGCTTTTTATACATTTGACAAAAAATGCACAAACACTTCTGCAAATATCCCAAATTTAGAAATAATTAGTGTGACTACTTCGTTTCAATCGAAGTAGAAAGAATCGGCCTACAAATATGTGGTTGTTTATTCAAAACATTTATTTTTAACTTTAATAAAATGATATTATTTTTTCGGTTTTCTAGATTTTTTAGATTTTCCGGTTTTAGATTTTTCCGGTGTTTGTATTAAATATCTCAAAAACCAAAGATTTTAAACATATATATTTAATTCTGATAATATATTATGCCTTTCTTTGGGCCCAAGTATCCAAAAATGAAATAAAATACCTGGTATTCCACAAGAAAAAATATAACTTTGGTATGGATCTTCGTTCTGAAACACTCTATATATTTCAAAATAATTTCAAATTGTGCAAATTGCCTCTCCACATATACCCATAAAATATTTTCTTTCTACATATTTCCGTTTTCGTATAATCAACCAATAGGCCAGTAAACGTAGCCGAGTATTACATGCAAAGGTGGAAAAAATTAGTAACCAACCAATCTCAACGGGAATATGTAGATAATGATCTCCTATTTAACCCCTCAAAAGTTCCATTCGGTCCCAGTGGGGGAAGTTTGGAAAAATTGGCCGCCATCTTGGATTTTTTCGTTTTTTTCAAATATCTCCGTTTGCATAACTTTTTTCGAAAAAACTAAAGATATGTTTTTCGTAGATAATTAAATTTAGAATATTTTACCTTTAATCATTTTTTTACTAAAATAAATAGTAATAGAGATAGAGCAAATTTTTACTATACGGTTTATAAATTTTCCAGTTTTTTTAAACCAATCCGCTATAATTTTTGCGTTAACAGTATAGTGTTAAAATAGATAAACCAAGTATAAATTTAAGCATTAAAACAATTAAAAATAACGTTTAAATATTATTTATTAAATAAAATTATTGTTAAAAAAATTATTATTAAAATAAAGTTATTAAATAAAATCTACTATGATGTCATCCTGAGCGTCATTTTAGCCTCAACTAAAATACAAAAGTTTGTGCAACTGTTTCCGTAGCACTGACCACGCTTTGAAGAACATGCAAAATCCAGTTTTCTACAAGAGCAATTTTTAGAACACTGACTTTCTTTGCAATTGCAATAAAATAATTTTAGTAGGTCAGGAGGCGCCACATCTTCTGCTGATTGAATAGGTGTTAGATTGCCTTTTTGATCTTTCTTCCATCCACATTGTAAAGGATCTAACTTGTTACCAATCCATTCTTGAATCTAAAAAATACAACTTATAAGATTTCCAATAATAGATATATCTTTACAGTTACCTGAAATTATGTCCTGAGTAAAAGGAGTTTTGCAGAGTTCTCAGTTGGAGGCAAATTAGCTAAATTAAAGGTGGTCTTAAGAGATTCTCAGATGGTTTATATGTTTAATATAGCTTGATCAGTGATATAGCTTTAAAAGATAATTTAATCCTGACTGAAACAAAAAGAATGTGCCTGTCGGTACTAAAAAAAGATGACGATCTTTGTCAATACCTTGAAATTGTTCAAAACCTAGAAAAAAAACACTAACAAAGATGACTTGTTTCAGTCAAGATTAAATTACCTTTTAAAGCTATATCACTGCCCAAGCTATATTAAACATATTAACCATCTGATATACACTGTATACAATAGGATTACATCAAGAGAAGCCCTTAAGACTACTTTTAATTTAGCTAATTTGCCTCCAACTGAGAACTCTGCAAAACTCCATTTACTCAGGACATACTTTCAGGTAACTGTAAAGATATATCTATTATAGGGAATTTTATAAGATGTATTTTTTAGATTGAAGAATGGATTGGTAACAAGTTAGATACTTTACAATATGGATGGAAGAAAGATCAAAAAGGCAATCTGACAAATCAACAGAAGATGATGCCTCCTGACCTACTAAAATTAATATTTTGCAAGAGAGTCAGTGCTCTAAAAATTACCCCTGTAGAAAACTGGCTCTTAAATGTTTGAAATGTTCACTTCAAAGTGTGGTCAATGCTACGGAATCAGTTGCACAAACTTTTGCATTTTAGTTGAGGACGAAAGTGACGCTCAGGATGACGTCATAGTAGATTTTATTTAATAACTTTAATTTAACAATAATTTTATTTAATAAAAAATATTTAAACGTTATTTTTAATTGTTTTAATGCTTAAATTTATACTTGGTTTATCTATACTAACGCTATACTGTTAACGCAAAAATTATAGGTGATTGGTTTAAAAAAGCTGGAAAATTTATAAACCGTACAGTACAGTACGTCTGTCCGTTCTGTAGCTACGGGGTATCCGTGAGAGGGGAAACGATATTCTCTCGATGTTTTTCGTAAAAAAATAGACGACGCGTCCCATGAATAAAAATTCAACAAATTTGCAAGTAGCCAATAAAATGAGTGGGCGGAGCGATTTGCTGTGACGCACTCGTCAAATCGACGTATAAAATATATTGCTGTTTATTTAAATGTTTTTTGTCCGCATTCCTTTCATAGACACAGATCCAGCAGATGTACTGTAAAAAAATGCTCTATCTCTATTACTATTTATTTTAGAAAAAGAATGATATAAGGTAAAATATTCTAAATTTAATTCTCTACAAAAAACATATTTTTTGTTTTTTCGAAAAAAGTTATGCAAACGGAGATATTTGAAAAAAACGAAAAAAATCCAAGATGGCGGTGTTTTTTTTCAAACTTCCCCCACTGGGACCGAATGGGACTTTTGGGGGGTTAAATAGGAGATCGTTTTCTACACATTCCCGTTGAGATCGGTTGGTTACTATTTTTTTCCACCTCAACCTCCAGATTGACTGGCCTACAAGGCGAATGAGGTGCGCCCATAGACAAACTCACAAAAGCAAGACGCGTCAACGCTGTACTGCAAAACGGTAACAAGTTTGATAAGAGTTTATTACCGCGCTTGCGTCAACTGGCCTTTTAGACGAGGACGGTTTACTTATGGATTGTGTATTTTGTAGTAGCCTTTTAGACAAGGATGTTTTATTAAAAAGCGTTTATTAAAATCAAATAAATTTATCGGTAAAATAAACAATAATTTCTGGACATAACAGATATAAAAACAAAAGTTTAATAAACGAAAACGTATTCCTCTTATTAAAATAACAAAAAAGATGATAAAAAAACAACAGTTATGGTAAACGAAATAAAAGCATTATTCTTCAAAAGGTACAAAAAAATTATTATGTATATTATAATATTAATAATAGGAACAACAAGAAACATCTTAAAAATATACAACTTTTTCAAATATAAAACATAAACTTCACATTTTCACAAGAATTTTCAAAAATATTAACATTTCGAGTCTATTATAAAATATAAAGCACAAAAATTCAAATCATAAAAAGATTAAAAAGATAAAGATTCTTATAACTTACAGTCAATTTGTAGGACCTTCGTTTTGTCTACGTTAGCGATGTAACCACAATAATATGTATAATCACAGTAATTATTATGTTCTTCATAAATGTAAAATGTATTAAATTATTTGTTCTCGTTTTGTACGCTAATAAAATAATAGTAATAACCAAACAAAACGCAAAATCAGGAATTCAACAGTTCGTTCAAGGATGGTTCAAGGCAAAAACGTTTTTCGTTTTATTTAGGTTAGGTTTGAGGAGTGCGACTGCGCGATGATTTCTGACTCAACTGGCCAGCGCAAAAACAATAATTCGACTTCCTCAATCCTTTGAAAAGTCTTGCTTTTGTTAGTTTGTCTATGGGTGCGCCACCCTGTATTTAGCTCATACCTGGATCATTCAAGTTCATGACTCTCTAAGAAATGCGTTTGTACATCCAAGTGAGTGGCCAAATCAAGCACCAAATGCTGTAATGATGGGTGCTCGAGCAGTTCAGCTTCTGGCAGGGGCGGCTGGCATCGCGGCCGGTACTGCCTTCCCCTGAACGACCTATGGAGATGAAGCACGACGTCGCAGAACACATATCGTAGTAGAAGTAACCGCAAGAATTCGTCTCCAAAAAATTGTAGATATGATAGATCTGTAAATAAATCATTTCGAGTAATACTAGTCTACATGATCTAGAGCTAATGCAAGACCGAGGCCAAGGCTCCCTTGGTCTTGGTTTAAGGTTACTTAATTTAAGGTACCGCCACCGCCCAAGTAGCAAATTTTATTTCATAAAGGCTGTATAAACAGCTATGTGATCATTTTTATAGGATACCTCAATTCATATAACGTGCTATAAGACCGTAATATGATAGCTTTACAACCAAAAAAGGTCCATTTTTATACAACCGTTTAGTAGTATAGAAGTTCTATAAAAAGGGTATACAACTATTATGCAACTATTTTACACAGCGTTATATAACTATTATAAAACTAGTTTTATTGTGTATTACGTGGTCACATCTAAAGGTGCGTATTCATTATCCGAACGAACGAACGAACGAACGAATGAAAGTGTATACTGAACGGTATATTTAGACGGGGACCGAACGCATGCGGCCGTTCGTTCGGTCGTGCGCTCGACCATCCGCTTCGAGTCGGTACATCAAAGGCGTTCGCCTGCGTGCGCTTTCAGATTTAAGGTGCGTGTTCATTATCCGAACGAACGAACGAACAAACGAACGAACGAACGAACGAATGAAAGTGCGGTATATTTAGACGGGGACCGAACGAATGCGGCCGTTCGTTCGTTCGTGCGCTCGACCATCCGCTTCGAGTCGGTACATCAAAGGCGTTTAGACGTCATGGTACAAAGAATACAAGGTATGATCGATAGCGGCTCCAATTTCGTTCAGTTCGCGCATACCACCTGTGACGTCACTAGGAAAATAATGAATAAATAAAAAATAAAGAAAGTTGACAGGAGATCTGCATTTTTGAGGTTATGGTTAAGAATTGTTTATTTTTAAGACTTTTTAGTTCGTTTAATTTAATAACTACTAAAACCAGCAGTTCCAAAAATATATTTAAAAATAATAATTATCTATTAACATGGATTTGGACGATAATAGGTAAAAATACTAAATTTATTTCTATATTCGGTATAAAATTGTTTATTAGGTTTTTATTTTGCGATGTTATGGTAAATAATTTTCATTTTCATTGCCTCTGAATTCACATGAGGACAGAGTTGAGGATATCTATGGAAAAGTAACCACAAGAGGAATTGTTACATCATTTAAAAAATATTGGGAAGTTTATTGTTTCCCATCGAAAAGTAGAAAATGCCAATGCAGATGAATGTATTGTAATTGTGATAGAAGTAATTCCAAGGGTGAAGTTTATTATAATTAGTGGAAGTAATTCCAAGGGTGAAGTTTATTATAATTAGTGACCTGTGCTTTTCTTTTTATATGTAGATGTTTCTGGTTTTGAGAATAAATCCGTTGAACGACACCCAAAATTTAGAGGAAGTATTTGCATACCCAGAATATGCCCATCAAAGATTATATAGCTCAAATTTCCTTTAATGGTAGGCAATTATTCAATGCAAATTAACTTTTTAAGTGACTGAAATATTAAATAGTTTACAATATGGTATATCATTAAAAATATATTACTTTTAGGTACAATTAGGGCCTGATACATTTCAAAAAGTAGAATATTATTTTATATTAAATGAGGTATTGTACCAACAGTCAATTTATATTAATACCGGAGATGAAAAAATAACAGAATAAATAGTTCTTTTTTTATACTACAAAAATAAACTATAGAATACAACAGTATTTAAAAAAATAAATAAAAAGTTATGTCCCGGCCGAGATTCGAACTCCGGTCTCTCGCTTCCTAGCCCAACTCCTTACGCACTGCTCCACAGTAACTTGCTTAGCGATAATTCAATGACGGTATATAAACAAAAAAAAACAGGTTTATAACAATATCTTGACGATTTGAACTGGCGCGCGAATGAAGAAATGCGTGCGGTCTTCTCGTGCGGTTCTATCGTGCGGTCCCCGTCCATACCACTAGCGAACATTCGTTCGTTCGTTCGTTCGTTCGTGCGGATAATGAATACGCACCTTAAGAAACAGAACAATAAAAACATTTGATCATTTAGCGAGGTAAAAGAGTATTTTATTTTTTACCGAAGAATATTAGGAGCAAATTATATTTTAAGCGTGACGTAAAATGAATCTAGAGGATCTTGTGGATTGTTAAAAAGGACTCGACGGTGAAAATGGCGGGTAGAGCCAGAAGGTACAACAAATATGTAATATAAAAAATCATTAATAGGGTTTGAAAAGTAGGGACAATTTTTGCTGCGCCGAAAATTTGACTGGTAGATTATATGTATGTATTTGGCAAAATATTAAAGCGCTTTAATTTCGATTAAGGTTTACGTATAAATTTAAACAACGAATAAAATAAAATTTTCAAAAATTCTTGTTTTTAATTTAATTAAACAGTTTATTACTGTATGTGGGAATCTTATCACAAAATAGTTCTCAAAAATAACATTTTACAATTTATTTTAATGTTTTTAATTTTGCTTCATATAATGGCGGCCATAGGCCATACAAAAATTCTGCCTTAAACATGGCGAATTATAATGCAACCATTTTATTATAAATGAATCCCTTAAATAAGTCTTTGTGGTAAAATAAAACGGTATAAGATAAATATCTATCATTACGCAGAATTTCCAGGCACTATAGAACTATTTTTGACATATTGAGATTTGTGACAAATGGATGTTGGCAAATCTCATTTGATTAGTATTTAAACTAACAAACATGATCAGGTTTTCATGGATGCATGCACGCAATGCATTTCATGCATGCCCGACGAGTGAGCGGCAACCCAAGGACTTGGAAAAACAACAATAAAACAATACAAACATTACTACAGTAAAACTTTTACATCAACGTGGTCAACAATGATTTGAAGAAACCAGAAAACCCGAGAGCTTTTGGGAACCCAGGGAATTCTCGGGATTATTTGCCGTAATTTCGATGAGTTTTTTCTTACATGCTCTTTATAACTACCACTGCGTTTGTTAACTTTTTTCCAACTTTGTCCAAAATTCATAATAGCTGTGATTGATTATACTCGTACGTAGATATTACTTTTGCAACAACAATAATAACAAAATAAATAACTAGGTATACCATTTAATTTAAAATGAGGTTATATTATACATTACCACTTTTATAATGCAGATATTACAGCGAATTTATTTTGTTAATCACAATTTTATCATATAAGGCTATATAACTAGTGTTGTATACAGCACCGTAGTTTAACGCAATAAAACATTCTATCATACAACGTAATACAACTTCAATAAGACAAGTTTAAGAAACTATTATATGATCTTGTGACTACTAGTTATATGAATATTATAGAACTCTTATATGGTGGGTATAAGAGTCTAACAAAATAATATGTTTGTTATCATAATATAGCATTGTCTTATTAAGTGTTATATCATACTAAATGAAATGATCGTTTAATGCGTTATAGGATACGTTGTAAACACCACTAGAAAATAGTTTAATATGACAACTTTTATTAAAAAACAGAATGGTGGATTTTGTGAAATTGCAGTATAAATTTTAAGGCTTCATTTCTCCGAGTGTATCAAAGTTTTTATTACTAAATATTTACTGAAGTTTATTTATTGATCACTTATTGTGTTGCAATAATAAAAATTATACTACCTTATACAGAGTGTCTAAAAATTTATTTTAAATAAGTGCTAGCCTTAAACGGCAATAACTTGTTTAATTTAAATGGAACACCCTGTATATTTTACAAGCATCAGATGCACAATTTAATTGTCTATCAAATTGTATTAGCCCACTTTTTACCTATCCCTTCAAGTTTTCATAGAAAATGCATTTTCTTACAATTTAGACCTCATTTATCAATATACCCATGGAATATTGACATTTTAGATTGTTTTTAAAACAACAAATGTACAAAATGTATAGTATAGTATAGTAGTCGTTTTACTAAGAACGATAATATTACTAGCCCATTTGTATGCAAAAAGAAAACTATTTAAATCTTTATAAAAGAGTATACCACTAACTAAATATACCACCAGTATTCCCGCCCAAATACTAATTAATTACATATTTAATTGTGTTCGTTAATAAATTATTCTAAATAAATGTGCATTTGAATCAGAAATCAATATAATAATAAGTTATGAAAATAAACGTCTCTGTTGTTATAAATAAGCATTTGTCAAAAAATGAAATATCATTTTTAAGGTGTTAGTTTTTTTACCACACTGTCTAATGCACATACCTAATTCAGTTTTTTAGTATTTGGAGCAATTATTATTAATCAACGCAGTCAATTAATGTAGTTTGAATACTGGAATCATATTAATAATTGGTCCTCTTTAACAAATATTTAAACAGTTTTTTTTTATTTTTTAATGAAATAAACGAACTATATCGACAATATTAGTATCTGTACTCTTTAAAAATTTGGTACATCTTTAAAAATAATCTAAAATGTCAGTATTCCCTAGGTATATTGATAAATGAGTTCTAAATTAAAATAAAATGCATTTTCTACGGAAACTTGAAGAGATAGTTAAAAAATGGTATAATACAATTTAATAGACAATTCAATTGTGCATCTGATTCTCATAAAATATACAGGGCATTCCATTTAAATTAAACGTTATTGCCGTTTGAAGCTAATAATTATTTAAAATAAATATTTAGACACTCTGCATAAAGGTAGTAAAATTTTTATTATTGCAACGCAGTAACTAATCAATAAATAAACTTCAGTAAATATTTAGTATTAAAAACTCTGATACCCTCGGAGAAATGAAGCCTTAAAATTTATACTGAAATTTCACAAAATTGAAAATATTTCAAAAACGGTAAGGTTTAAGTGTAATAAACCTTAATCAAATTTACCTTTATTTTAATCGTAGAAACTAAAAATGTAATAATATACAGAGTGTTCCATTTAAAAAAATTCGACTTTGATATTTTTTATTTATTTGGGACACTCTGTATCTTGTAAAAATATTTTTAAATTGTAGCGCTAATAGTCCTTCAA